TATTTACAAATATATTTATATATTTAACATCTACAGAGTTTAGTAGAGAATTTTTTTGAATTATTTCGCAGAAAACTGAAATGGTCCACTGTAAAGCGCACTGACCCACTGTTGATATATATATATATATTTAAAACAAATCTGGTGGAAACTTTGATCTAACTTATTGAAATTTTCAACTTTTAAGTTTTAACAAAACATCAGAAACTTAGCCATATAAATATAGTAATTACTGCTATATTTTCACTGAAAAAAATGTTGCCGAGAAATTCAACTATACCCTTGGGTAGTTGACTAGAAAGTATAGTTAAAATAACTACTTTTTTAGTTAATCTAATCATGTTCACGTAGTTAATGTAACTATTTTTAAGAAGTTAATAAGTAATAGTTGATTTTACGTAAATATGTAGTTAAAGTACATAACTACAGGTCGGTAGTAAAATTAACTTTCTTAAGGTAGTAAAAACAAGTGGAATTGTAGTCAACTCAAAATTTGAAGAGTAGTAAATCCAACTACTATTCACCAGTTATATGAAATATAGTAAAAGGAATTATTTTCTTTAATGAATATAACTGCTTTTTGAGTAGTAATTTTTTTTATTAATTTCTATGATTTTATAGGCTTCAATAAAATTCTTGTTGTAGAATTAACAAGTCGTCTGTAATTAAAACTACTATACTTTAAGTAGTAGATTTTTACTATTTTAATTAATTCGATAAACTTAAAAAAGATTTTTGATGTAGAATTTACAAACCGTTTCCAGTTAAAACTACTATATACTTTAAGTAGTAGATTTTACTATACTCAAAGTGGTTCAATAGGCTTTAAGAACATTTTTGTTGTAGAATTAACAAATCCTTTGTGATTAAAATTACTACTTTAAGTAAGTTATTTTGTACTGTTTTAATTAATTCAATAAGCTTGAAAAACGTTTTTGATGTAAAATTTACAAATCGTTTTCAATTAAAACTACTACTTTCAGTAGTAGCTTTATATAGGCTTGAAGAACATTTATGTCGTAGAATTATAAAATTCTTTGCAATTAAAACTATCACTTTAAGTAGTAGATTTTACTGCACTATGCAATTAAATAACTTATAATATAATTAAAAGATGAAAAATTTACAAGTCAAAACTTAAAAAGGATAGTTATAGCAACTAATAAAAGTAGTAAAAATGACTACTTTAAATAGTTAAATTACCAATTGGACAAGCAGAAAGTAGTCTTCGAGAAGTTTGCAGACTGTCGTAGCGAGGGTGCGTGGTTCGTCGGTTAAGGTATCGGATAGCGAGCGTTAGGGTCGAGGGTTCAATTCCCGTCGGTTAGAAATTTTCTCTGTTAGGTACATAATCGTTAGGGCATAAAATAAGCGTCAGTATAGGAGAGAGGATGAAAAAGTCAATTCTACTGATAATAAACAATTATAAATAAAAAATAATTTTATTTTCCTATTTTAAGTAGTAAAATCTACTACTTAAAGTAGTAGTTTCAACTGCAAAAGATTTATTAATTCTACAAAAAAATGTTCTTAAAATTCTTAAAATCTACTACTTACATCTTGAGTTGTTTTAACATTTTTAAATTGAGTTAATACAATCACAAATTTCATTCTACCAATTACATGTTTAATTGGTTTAACTATTTTTATATAGTTAATAGAATCATTTAAATTCAGTTGAGGACCTATTGTACTACTCAGAGTAGTTAAAAAGTAGTAAAACCTACTAGTATTTTTTCAGTGTTGAACTTAACCATTACGAAGCATATTGCATCAAAAGTAAAAGCGATCAAACCATAAAATTCAGAGAAATTTTAATTTTATAGTATTACAAGATTCAGCAGTACTATACCAATATGAAAATATCACTAGAACATAACCTATATATTTTTTTTTAATACAAACCAAAAACCAACAGAAGGTTCATAAACACAATAGTTTAAAAAAACGATGAGTGTAAATATCCAAGCAATTGCAATAAATGTGTTAATCGTCTGCTGACAACATTTTTATAAATATATATATGGACCAATGTGGAGAAAAAGGTGAAATCGCAACGATAAAATGCGAAGAGGGGAAAAAAATTGGATCTCTGCAGGAAAAACTGTATATAGGTGCGGTATATATACGCAATATATGTATATATATATATATATATATAGTATATATGTATACGTGAAGCCGCGCCAGAGAGCAAAGAGCATGACAGAAAAGGGTGTAGGGGTACAGGGCTACGACCTGACTGACCCTGGCTCGGTGTCCGGGTCGACTTGGAAGCCCTCCTGTATGTGCCCCTACTCCTTCACCCTTACCCTCACCCGCGCCCTTAAAGTCTCCATACAGGGATGGAAGGAAGTCAGCCCTGCCCATTTTTCGCACCCTACTTGACTCGACTTCCCTATTGGCCAAACGCCCTCTCCCAAGGCTAACCTCTTATTTCCACCTTTTCCACCTTACCACCCCCGGCCACCAACTCTAACCTCAGAAATTCTTCTCGAAAAATACGTTATACTCTCATCATTCTATATAACGGCGCACTTATGTATTCTTCGATATATATGTATACAAAAAAAGATCTCGCCGCCACTGATGCGTTTTCAGAATCTATATATATTTTTAGATTTGTTAGTACATATTTTGGCTGTGATTTTAATTTTTAACAGCATTTTGAGGTTATGTTTTCTGATTTATTAGTATTTTGGCTCGCATTTTAATTTTTAACATATCAAACCCAGCGGCATCTTAAAGTAGAAATTAACCTAATTTTGAGGTTATGTTTTCAAATTCGTTAGTATTTTGGCTCTGAACATTGACCAAGAGACGTCTGTGCGGGTTTGAGATTAAAACACATAACCTCAAAACTAGGTCGAAGGCGTAAAATAGGGTTAAAATAGGCGAACAATCCAAGATTTTAATCTCAAATCCAACGGCCTTTTGACCTAGAAATTGACCTAATTTTAAGGTTATAATAGCCGATTTTAACCTCAAAGACAGCGATCTCTAGACTCTTACTTACCACCTATAATTTTATGTTTTCAGCTTTGTTATAGTATTTCATACCTAAACATTGACAGGTCTTAGGTCAAGCAACCGCAGAGTATGAGATTTAAACATAACCTTAAAATTAGGTCAAAACTCAGAACTAAAATACGAACATATAACCTTATAAAAAATTTTAACTTAAGAGATTTACACGCAGCTGAATTATTCAGTAAAGAGGTGCAACATCCAGAACTCGACAAATATGATTACAATAATCCATTGATGTCCAGTTTTTAAAATATAGAGTCCAACGAGAGTCAACGATTTATATTGACATATATAACCAAACGGCTGCTCTCGATATCTGTGTTTTCTCCAAATAACCATCAGGGGAGTGTTATACTTCTGCGTGAATCAGATCAAAGGTTAATGGATGTGTGCCACGTGCCATATGTACAAAAAAGATACCTTAAATTTTTTTTTCTGAATCACTTTCAGACTTTATATATACATATATATACATGACACCAAGTAAGAGAGAAGAAAAAACTTACCCTCCAGCTGCCAGTATAGCAAAAGTTTAAAGGCCCCTTAAAACTGCGTGTATAAGAAAAAGCATGTGTCACACATTTTCCGGATTAAGGGATTCCATTTGGTTGCTGTCTTAGAGTTTTTTTTTTTTTTAATAAATATGCCGCACTTGCGCTGGCAATATTCTTACAAAACTTTTCCAGATAAAAAAACAAGTCTATAAATTATATTTAGGTTTTATCTGACAGTAGTTGCTATATAGTCATAGATCAATGAACAATTTTTTTTAACAGAAATATGGAGAAATTTAAAAAGGCCCTGGTAGGGCTCAAGTTAGGAAGCGCTAAATTAGCATGAAACGCTATATTTGGTCAGGGATACAGAAAAAGTTGTCGTTTAAGTCGATTTAAACAGGCGCCCGACTAGGGCCCTGTTTCAGCCCGGTTAGGATCGATTAGAAGCGGGGCCAGACTAGGGCCTTGTTTGGCCCCGGTTGAATTTCTTATTTCATCCAGGATAGAACCAAATTGACGTTTTTTTAACAAGGGGAAAATTGTAAACAGGTCCTGTCAGGGCTCTGGTAGGGAAGTCCCAAATTTGGGCAAAAATAAATTTGGTTCGGAGAGCCACAGAAGAAACTGCGTATATTAGCCCCGCATTAAAATCGATTTAAAGCGGGGCCCAAACCAGAACCCTATTTCAGCCCAATTTAAACCAGCGCCCGACTACGGCCCTATTTCCGCCCGATTACGATCGATTAAACCCTGGGCCTGATTTGTCGGATTTTCTAATTCCAGAACAGGACCAATTTGTCGATTTTCTTTACGGGGCAGAAATTTTGTGCGGGCCCTGCCAGGGCCCAAGTAGGGAAACTTCGAATCCGGTCGGAATTACAGAAAAAGCTCTATTTTATCCCTATTAAAAAAAAGCGGGTCCTTGTACAATTCCATATATTTCTAACAAAACAGAACAAGACTCTTTTATTTTCTGCCCGTTGCAAAAAATTTTGAACTGGCCCTGTCAGGGCTCAGGTTAGGAAACTTTAAATTCAATTGCAACTATACAAATAAGAAACACCCTATTTCAGCCCCATTAAAATCGATTTAAATAACGGTACCAAAAAACTTGCAATACCCCCCCTCTCAAAAAAAGGACAACCAGAAAAGTGTTACTAAAACCAGAAATTGTAAAGAATTGTCAGTGGATAAAAAAAAAGAATATTATCAGCATAGTACTAGTAGCAGCAGGTTGAGGAAGTGAATAGAATGAGACAGAGTGAGAAATATTTTGGATGGAGAGAGGGCATGAAAGTTCGAAGTGGGTAACCGCGGGTGGTGAGAAGGAAGGACTGCAACCGTAGCCAATGATAGGGGACTTTGGGCGCGCCCGGGACTCGACCCCACCCTCGGTCACTATGGCAACCGACGAACCGCGAGAAACCTGCAAGAGAGTCTAACCAATGGTGGGGGGGTTAGGTCGGTGTCAGGGGTCGCCTCAGTCGGCAGTCGGTCTCTGGTCGGCCAAAGGATAAGTCGTGTGCTTAGGTTGTTATAGTCGTGTATCTTTCTTTCTCTTCTTTTTTTCAAAGAGAGGGAAAGAGAGTACTGCAAAAACGCGCGCCTCTTTTATATTTAACCCTTTTGAAGGGTTAATTGTGTCATTTATTAGGTGACAACTATCAACTCTATTTTAACAATAACAAAACGTTTAATAAGTGTATTGTGAATTAAGTGTCATTTATGGATAATTAAAGGAATACAATTTTTAGATGATGATGATGATGATGATGGATCGTTGCCATTTAGGAGAACGTTAATAAGGTGTGTTTAGTGAAAGTGAATTTGGAAAATATATAGTGAAGAAAGACAAAAAAGAGATTTTTTGGATTTTATTTATTTATTTTTTTTTTAAAAGAAAATCGGAAAGAACTTTGGCAGGAAGAGGACAAATTTTGAGGGCGAGTTTTCATTTAAGCAGCCAGGGTGGTTCGAGGGGGGACAGGAGGCGCGGACGCCCTGGCGACTGCCGGGGTGGTTTACCCGGCCGCGACGGCTACCCTGTTCCCTAGCCGGGTGCCGGCAGCCCATCACCCGGAGCTCTCTACCACGTTGGAGCTGGGGTTCCCGGCGCGTGGCACCACCGCCTCAATGGCGTTGGTTGCCCCGCCGCCCTCGTGGGCCTCGCGGGACCCCGGGGCATTACTTGGTGGCGGTGGTGGCGGTCCACTTCAAGTGGGTCCACCGCCTCCAATGCCACCAACACATTTAACCCCATCGGCAACACCTGAAGATATCACGTGCCTAGTTCCCGCTGGTTCTGTATTAACGCCAAGGGATCCATTACCACCAAGCACAACACCCGGAAGTCAGGCCAACAGTTCACAATCGGGTAGCTCACAAACTGATAAATCATCGAATATTGAGTGCGTCGTTTGCGGTGATAAAAGCAGCGGGAAACATTATGGACAATTCACCTGCGAAGGTGAGTTCACGATGATGATGATGATGATTTTCTTATTATAAGTTACTGATAAGTACAGTTACAAATTTTCCAAAATTTAGGTCCATATGTAGATTTGTGGATTTAAGATGGGCTGATGGTATATAGTAGGGTCACTGATTTGTGGAAGATCTAACACTTGACCTAGTTCAGATGATAATCAGAAGGTTAGATATTAGGTTTAGCCTAACTTACTAGGTGATGATGATGATTGGAGGATTTAGCCTAGATGATGAGGGTAAACCTCTGAAGCTTCTCTCCCTGCTTGGATGATTTGACTTCTAATTAGTGACAGTATCCCTATTTCTGTAAATCCGGAAATAATTTCCGTTTGCGAAATTCTTATACAATATAAAGATTCTTCTATTAAAAAGAATTCTGTTGTTGTTGACAGAATTGCATTGTCAGCAGAATGGAATTTTTAATTAAAGAATTCAGAACAATACCAATAACCTAAGAAAGGTCTAAAGTAACTTTTGTAGCTATGATGATCATCAGCTAAATTCTAGGCGATTAAATTTGACGACTTCTATATATAAATAAGTTAGTGAAAGGCGAAATCATCCCTATATTTCTATCCAAAAATCTTATTTCTGTTAAAATCTGCATCTTTATTTAAAAGTATCAAATTGCAACGAATTTGATATCAATATTTGCATCAATATAATATGATCCAACACAGAAAAAAGCTGGTGTTATTTTTGTTGCGGGTAATTTTCTCCAATTCTAAAACCCATATAAGATTTAACTCAGATTTAGGGTAAAATTTGTTGCTTGTTATTTTAACACCAATTCTGGTGTTTTTTCACTTTGTTTTTTCTGTGAAATGTGGGTATCAATTTGATCCAATTTTGGTATTAACTTGATACCTTAAAGAAAAAAGTGATATTTATCCTCTGAGCAGTGGATCAAATCCTTCTTCCAAAGTTTCTACTATATTCTCTGCGGTTTAAATGGTCATCAGAACCTTAATCCAAAGTTTCGATTCTCCTAATTCTAATATTTTAAAAGACTCTAAATTGGAAATCTTCCTAAGTCCCATCACTGTAAAACGAAAGGTACTAAAACACCGACTTTAGGTATATATATCTAATAAATTTCCATTTGGTTTTATTTTGATACCTATATAAAATCTGTACTATTTGAGTACCTTATTTTTATGACCAAAAGTGAAATAATGAACACTTAATATTAATTTTCCCTAGTTATTGTCAAATCTTCAAAAAATTATTCCACTTTTGCAAAAACTGGAAAATTTCAATTTATAGTCCAAAAAAAATTTTTTTAGTAAATATTGCTGTTAAAAAATAAGTATTAATTATATTATCTCCAGTAGTTTTAAAACTGATTTTAATAATTCCTCAAAACTTTGGGTGGAACTAAATATATACTCATTAATATCCAAAGCAATATTTTTCTCGCCTCTCTTGAAGATTGAGTAATATCTGATCGTGATTGGAAAATTTTGTTTCAAAACAACCGCTGACGTATATATATCCTCTATATACATATATATGTATACATACTGCAAGAGAGCTGGAAAGAAAGATTAGAATTATTTTTTTCAGAGAATTTTATCCTGATAAGATATATATATTTCTTTTCTCAAAAATATGTCATGGAAATATAAAAAAAAAAGTTTTATTGGTTCATAAATCGGAGCCGACGAAAAGATATTATTAGTTTTAAGAATTTTTACATAAATCGAAAATATTTATTTAAAATCTAGGGAAAAATTCGTTTAATTAACAAAAAATAGAAGAAATATACCAGACTTGTAATTAGTAAAAATTCTTAATAGTAGTTGACAAGCAAGAATTATAAAATGTGTTGCAGAACAGCTTTTCTTATATATATATATATGCGCCATATGCATAACGAATTCCCTTCAAATTGAAAGAAAAGTATATAGACCAGAATTGCAGTAATAGTAGGTTATTATAACATTTGCTGAAATCGTCTGGGAAACATAAAATCGAGAGAGAAACACAAGACTGAAAAAAGCGTCAGACAATTAAGAATCCGTTTACAGCGAAAGTATATTATGAATAACAGTTTCACTATTCCAAAGTTCCGGGATCGTATAGCAAAAAAAAAAAAAAAATTCACGTAATTATTGTAGATCATCATTTGGAAAAAATTCCAGTACTATCCTTTACTAATAATAATTTTCTTTCTCGATATCGTTAAACTAGCGAATTTAGAAATCGTAAAGAGATATATTGCCTTTAAAGAATCAGGAATATAGCAATTCACACTCCATTCATCTATGATGATAGAAATCGCTAATTATCTTCACTGGCAATCGGATTCTTTATATGCGATAATATACATCTGGGTATATATAGTAAATCCATAAGGCAAAAGTAGTAAATCTCAAAGTAAAGCGCAAAGGGAAAGTTTTTAATTTTTTTTTTTTTTTAAACATCATATCATCGTTTATGTAATTTTGCAATAAGATTTGATATTTTTAAAAATTATTGAATATATAATAGGAAAGGATTAGAGTGCAATGACCCCTGGATTCTTTTATGCAATATACAGAAGGTATATAACCCTTGTACAAAAGGGAATATTAAAGAAAGGATCCCTCTTTTACCTGTTTTCCAATTTGTCACTACAAGTATATACCAAAAACTCATTCGCATTTGAATGGGGGCCTTCCCTGACACCTATACCTTAAAAATACCCATCGCGCCCACATTAATATTTATTCCAAAGCGTGAGATAGAACTACACGTCCATCGCGTGGCGATATACCCAAAAAACAAAGAATCTCTCTCTCTCTCTCTCTCTTATACCATTAATAACCCAGTGGGGTGTTCCCCTGGAACACTTACACGTCTGTTAGGAGCCTAATAACGATGTAATAGGCTGAGGAAATGAAGCGAGGTGGGATTTTACACGGCCGAGTGCTTATGCACTGATACTTTAGAGAGAAAGAGAGAGAACTTATTAACTCTTTCTTATGATATTACAAAATTAGAATTTTTTTTTTTTACTTTTGTTTTCTTTATTTCGAAAAATAAAACAATTATTTATCGCGTGCGTCTTGATGACAAGGGTCCGAAACAAGGGTAACGAAGAAGAATTATTCCCGCGGATGGAGGACAACTCTGAGGATATGGACATATGGTTAATCGAAATCTACTGCTCTGATCCCTCTTCAATAAATTGAGAATTATTCCCTCTCATGGGTTTATATTCTCTCTCTGCAATTAATTATATCCGAAATTACTTCTTATTGATAAGTGATTGTTCGTAGTCTTTTTGAAAAATATATTGGATTTTTTCTTGTTCGTTTTTAATTGCGCATATATAATAAGTGTATTGAATTTTGACTGTTGTTAACCAAACATGGAAATTATTAATCCTTAAGAATTCGGTATCAAAATTCTCCGATAGGAATTATTGCAGATGATTCTGTTTCGTTTGCTTTTCTTCTTTGTTTTTAATTGTAGTATATTAGCAGGTGTGTTGGATAATTTGAATGTTTCTTATCAAACATAGAAATTATTAATCCTCACGAATTTGGTAATTATCCGGATATTCAACAGACTTTTTAGAAATGTCATTTGGTCCGGGGAAATTAGGATATACAACACAAACGTTAGTGCGGATGTTCTGAGAACATTTTAGGGATATTTTAATTTTCGGATACTTCTAGGACGTATGTGGAATATTCTCAATTATCCGTTTTGCTATGAGGGTCTAATTAGCATTTTCTGTAGGAATTATACCGATGATGATTCCATTTCGTAATCTGCTTTACTTCTTCGTTTTTAATTTTACAAGTGTATTGCGGATTTTGAATGTTGTTAATCAAACATAGAAATTATTATTAATCCTTAAGAATTTGGTAATCTCCTATAGAAATTAGTGCAGATGATTTCGTCTGCTCGGGACACAAAGTTCCTAAAGTACATTCCAGATGAGCATATCCAAAATTTTACATTTCAGTAATCGGTATAGCCTCAATAATTTATGAATTAAGAAGTTTTGGTTAGTTTTATTGTTAGTAATGTATTATTATTTATAATTATTATTATAATTATTATTATTATTATTATTATTAATAGTAGTAGTAGTAGTAGTAGTAGTAGTAATGCCTTAATGAGATAAAAGTAAATGAGACGCGAGGTGTATATATATAATATACAATACCGAAAGAAGAACGAAAGGTGGACAAAACTCGGATCCCTTTGGGGTCCCTCTCTCTGGTATAACATTGAACTTGGTACACGTCGATTCCTCGTAGTGGCAATCCTAACTATTTTTCTGTACTCGTCCTCGTCGTCGTTCGTCGTCCACCTTCTCGTAGGACTACCGAACTCATTAAAATTCATGAGTACCTCTAAACCGGGACGAGGCACTCGAGTACATGTCTACTATATACGTATACGGGATATGCTACCTGAGAGCACCTGTAGTGTTTTATATACACGCACACATGAATGCTCGTGTGGGTTTTATGTTCATGCAGGTAGAACGAGCATCCAGAGAAAGAAAGAGAGAGAGAGAGAGAGATTTGAGAGTGCGGTTAGGAGCAAGGAGTCAGGCCACAGACCACCAGACCTACTCGCTTGTCTGCTATGTATAGTGCGTAGAACCCGAGGCTTCTCTAATGACGTTTATTATCGCGAGGATTATTATAATGAGCTAAGGGTAACTCAAACCAAATGTGCACACACACATATATATATATATATATATATATCTTTAACAACAAAAGCAAATTCTACTTCTTTTTCATTATGATGATTGAAAAAGAAAATTTTTGCGACTGTATTTCGAAATTTTATTTTCTTGATTTTTATTTTTACTCTCTGTAGGTTTTTTCTGTGTTATTATTTTTTGTATTGCAAAATTTGTTCCACCCCGTATTATCAATTATACAAAGTTAGCACATAGTATTCATCATCCGCAGACTATTTGGAATGTTTTCCATTTCCTATTTTTAGCAAAATATAATGAAATTCATT